TTTTATGTAGCCTGCTTTGTTCTCATGTCGTTATTAATAGCTTTTCAATTAGATGGCCAGCTCCTTAAAGGCAGCATCCTTTAGATACATGTATCCTAAAGATACATCCCTTCTATCTTCTCAGAATAAGTAACTCATATTTTTTGACAGATCAAGTTCAGATCTTTTTTAAAAAATGAGTCTTTTGATATATCGAAAAATACATTAAAATACTACAAGTGGTTATATGTATTGGTGAAAATGGGTGATCTTAATTTTTACTTATTTATACTTTTCCAATGTTATAAACTACTTACATGTTTTAAAAATCACATCTTAAAATTAATAAAGTAAATGTGGACTATCAAATACACATTTCATACTAACAAACAAAATCTTTTGCACATAAAAAAGGGGATCAAGTAAATACTCAAGTAAAAGAACTCTTGAACCTACGTCGGTTATCTTACTACTACCAGGTCATGTGTATTTCTGTCCCTTTGGGCATAAGCCTGGCAGGTAACATATTAGGTGGAGATATAAGAAGGACAGAGAAACCAAACAAACAGGGTTTTATAACCACAGAGGAAAATGAGGAAAGACATGGGGAAATGAAAAACATTCTATTTGGCAGATATATGTGAAAAGACGAAAACAACAAACTAGAGCCGAGGAAGGTAGTTTTGAAATAGGCAATTCACCGAGTAATCACATTTAATAATACCTGAATATACAACAGGCAAAATCATGAAGAGATTTCTTCTAGGGGAAAAAAAAAAAACAGAATGAAGAAAATTCAAGAATTCTATTGCTAAAGTTAAACGTGCATTATCTAAACAATAAAGAGTTTCCAGGGTAAGGAAATAATGGCTGAGGCTAAGGTTCCAGTAAAACACATAAGGCTTGAGAAATTTGAACATATTGCAGAATTCAAATGCATCTTACAGCAGAAACACTTCAGGCATCTCCTCAGATTCCCTTGATGCCATCATCACACGGACCCTCAGCTGGTTCCGCCTCGGCTGCGTCCTCTGTGGCTGACTGTTTCCCATAGGCCTGCTGAGCTCTGCTTGCCTAAGGACGCCTGGCTCTTCGCCCATGTCCGTCTCTGCACGGGCCGGGACACCCTGAGCTCTGGGTTCTCTTGCTGCTTCCGGACTTGGATGGCAAGTCACACCACAGGGCTTCAGGGTGGCTGCTGAGAAAGCGGGGTGCTGAAACCTGGAACTGTGGGGTTAGTTACCTCTCCACATGTAAACTCTGACCAATGGGACACAGGAGCTGAAGAGAGCCAGGCAAGTAAATTCTCTCTCTTCTCTATCTCCCAAATCTGTATTGGGGTGCAGTGTCTTTGGATTCCCTGCCTGGGGATGTCTTGGGTACCATCTTGCCAAGGAACCAGCTATTTCGCTATCACCTCATTGTGAAGCTGTCACTCAGCAGGGTAAAAACATCATTTTACATTGCTTCTCATCCTTTTCAGAATCACTTCCCTTTCTTCTCACTCTCACTGCCTAGGGACTGCACCTCTCAAATGGAGCATCAGCTCTAAATCCTTGCCTCAGGTTCTGTTTTCTGAGAAACCCAAACTAAGGACCACTTTAATTAACTCTTATCCCTTTCACTTTTTACTTGAAACATGTATATGTTTAATGTCTAATATGACATGTCTAATATGTCTAATATGAATATAAATATGAATAATGTTTACATTTTTCCATTACCATCTAAGGCATATTATGTATCTCCTTAGAAAAGCAGCTAACACAGAAACATTATCACTTTTATTTCTAACACTATTAGCTGGTACACTGGCATGTGACAGTCTAGAATCTATATAATTTTTCACAAGCTAAAAGAGTGGCCAATATCAGGCTTTGAATTAGAAAACCTCTTCTTTTTTTTTTAGTCCAAATATCTACTATTAAATAAGGTTGAATAGTTTAATATTTTTCCAGCAATCTAGAGGAAGGGATCTAGAACAGTGTTGGGCATATAAGGCACTCAATAAATATTACTTCATTTTTGCCTGTTCTATAAATTCAAAACATTCTGGAAAATAAGACAGGATATCGGTCTTAGGCAGATCCAATATAGAAATATTCTTATATATAAAGTCATTGAGGAAAGCATTTTCAACTCCATATGCAACATTGAGAATATGAGTCGCCTGAGCAGTGGCTAGGAACAAATACAAGCAAATCCAGCCAGCACAGTGAGGGATCGAACTGAGCGTCCCTTAGTGTTCAGGTAACAAAAACAACCTCATGGGCACACGGGCCGGCAGGTAACTCTAGCTGACACTCGCCGGGAGACGAGACAGCCTGGCTCCATTTTTGCCAGCGCCGCAATGTAAGCAGAAGTTTGATTCCAAAAGGCATTTCTTTACTGTTCTTACCTGACTTAATTTTTCTCTCAATCTTATCCTTTTGGATTGTTGAGGAAAAAATTACTCTATTCTGGCGTCCTCTCTGTAATTGAGAAGTTTCAACTTTCTCATTAGGATAAATAATCAGTCTAAATTTTGTTCTCCCTCTTTCATATATCATTATGGATATGGCAGAAGTGGGCTTATGTGAGCATGTGGTGACAGGAACAGAACAAGTTGAGATTCTAGGAGATGTTGCTTTGATCTGCATCAGGCTAGAACTTCATGCCTGAGTCCTCACTGGATAAACTCTCTCTGGGCTCCCACAGTACCCACTGAGCCAGGACTGAATGGTACTGGTAGACCCTGAGATCTGGGCAGGTATCCCATTGTGCCAAACTGGAATGTCTTCTTTGGTGCTCTCAGCCCCACTGCTGTGATGCTCCCCAGGACCAGCCAGCTCACATTATCAGTTAGCCAAGTGCATTCCTTGACACAACACTACATAAACACTTCTACAAACTGCCTTTCCCCCACCTACTACCCTTGGAACTAAGTGAGATTCCAGATTGCTGACCTAGGTCCCCTTTTCATCTCTTTCCAGTGGGTTGTGGGATCGCCTTACAAGTTAGTTTCCTCCTAGAACCCCAAGTGAAAATGCACAATGACCCTCTGGTTTTGACTTTCTAAACCCTACTTAATTGGTTTCTACACTTCTTGAATCACGAAAGAAAGGTCATCAGGACATATTTCACCACCTGATTTTTGTATATTTCCTATCTTCTTCCCACAATTCACCAGAGACCAGAAGAGATGAACTTTCCACTTCTTCTTCCTGTCTGAATGGGACTCATCTATGTCTGAGCCTCAGTTTTCCCTGTGATCTATCATTCTCTAGCCTCTAATGATAGAATCATAATATAGAGAGCAGATGAACACAGACTCATGGGTTTAATATCTTTAAGATGGAATATCTATCACAGATATGAAACTGCTGATAAACATGGCAAAAGGAAAGGTGAAGATACCTTAAATATCTCCTATCCTTTACCTCTTGCTGTTCTCCTTATATATTCTAGGAGGAACATGGTGAAAAGGGTAANCTAGGGGATCTTCCCAACCCAGGGATCAAACCCATATCTGCTTGGCAGGCAGGTTCTTTAACACTGAGCCTCCAGTGAAGCCCGTATACTCCTATAGTACCCTCTATGTGCCCTACGATAGCCCTTATCACCAAGTTTGTCTCCCACATTGGGCTGGAAACTCCACCAGGGTAGAGACCATATTTAGCCTACTCACTTCTATAAGTAAGCACTGTGAGTGAGCAGGAAACTTCGCACAGAAAGTACTTAAAATATCTGTTGAATAAATCAATTAATGTCCATAAAAAAATTAAAGTAAGGGACGTGCATTAGTAGCAATAACTTCCCCTTCAATACTTATTTCCCTACTTTCCTTTTGTATTCTGTGTAAGTACAGTCGTTCTCAAGTGTGGCTACCCACTAGAACTACCCAGTGAGCTTTTTAAAAGTTCAATAGGTCCACCCTGAGCTCTGGATTCTCTTGCTGCTTCTGAACTTGGACGGCAAGTCACACCACAGGGCACTGGGTTTGGTTTCAAGGTGACTGCTCACCCAAGGAGGTTTTCAAAAGCACCAACGCCACAGGGTCTCAAACCCAGAAATTCTGAATGATTAGTCTGGTTGAAAGGGGGGATGGTCATGAAGATTTGCTTTCAAAATGTGAGCAACCTCCTCCTCCATCTAAGCATTCAAGCTCCTTTCCTGGAGTCCACCAAGCAAACGGAAGAAGCCCTGTGGGAAGTTCGTTAAGACAATCCAAAGGCTAAATGGATCGGATTCCGCCTTTCCTGCCCCCACTAGCCTCACAGGTGTGGCTCTGGAAGCGCCTCGCTCCTTCCCCCAACACAGCTAATTGGCTTCTGGTGGACACCTGACTTAAGCTAGACTGATTTAAGAAATTTAGAAAGAGGTGTATGAGACAGTTAGAATAATCCACACACTCAAGAGCTTTAGGACAGCCATTTTGTATTAAGTGTTCTGAGAAGCTGAAGGATCCCTGCTTCCAAATGAGAAGAAGAGCAGATGTGCAGAGAGGGGCCGTGTGCCAGCGGGTGCCCTTCTATTCTCTGGCACAGCCGCTCTCCTCCCAGGTTCCAAAGCGCTCCCCCGCCCTCGTCCCCCCGCCCTGAGATCATCGTATGCATTCTCTTTCCTTGCTCAGGTTTCTGTGGTCCACAGCCACAAGAGTATTGATTAAGATATTCAGGGAACTAGACCTCATGAAGAGAGGGCCGTAAGCTATTTACAAACCTAACTGCCTCGTGGAGGAAAACAACAGAAAAAAACCTCTAATCTACTCGAGAGGGGGAGATGGGAGAATTCTAGACAGAAGGGAAGAACATTTTTAGAAGATACTGTCTGATATGTCCTTCTGCCTTCCCTGGTGACGTTTTCTCAGGCTATGTCAAGTTACCCTCCCACTCCAAGAGTACCTCTGGCCAGGGCTGGATGACTCTGCCTTTAATTACATGACAGATATTCCAATGTTGAATAATACTGATGTGTTTGCCCTGTCTTTAAAACTATATTCTACATCCCCCAAAGACCAAAAATGAGGTCTGACCACTGACAGAATATATCTGCATCTATCACAGGATTATGACGATGACAAAATGAGAATCTTGGAGAAACCTGCTGAAAGGTAAAAGTGCTTTGCAAATATTGTGGGCTATTAAACTATCCAATGTCTAGGTAGTTTAGCTGCTTGGAAATGCAGTTTATATGTGTATTGATTCAATGATCCTGCTTGAAAAGAACTGTACTAAGTCACAGGTCATGGTGGTGGTGCTGGAAGTGTTAGTCACTCACTCATGTCCCAGTCTTTGTGACCCCAAGGACCGTAGGCTGCCAGACTCCACTCTCATAGAATTCTATAGGCAAGAATACTGGAGTGGGTTGCCATGCCCTCCACCACAGGATCTTCCAACCCAGGGATCAAACCCAGGTCTCCTGCAGTGCAGCAGATTCTTTACCATCTGAGCCACCAGGGAAGCCCAAAATGATGGTAGTGGGGACCTAACCTAAAACCTTTCTAGTAATTCAAGCATCCTTCCAAAATGCAGTTTCAGAGGTCCTTTCAATGGTTGACCTTGGGATGCCTTTAAAATAAGGATAATACGAACAGCCCCTTCATTTAGTACTTAGTATGTGCTAAGCACACAGGTTAACTCACTTAAACCTCACATTTAGGCAATATAAAAATTTTATTTTTTGAAGTCGTTCAAAAATCAAAACATTTAAAAAATTAAGAGGTCTTGCTCTTCAACCTGCCCTCCTCCACTCCATTATCGCCCACCTATATGGTAACTACCTTTATCCGTTTCTCATATATTCTTTTAGGGTATCTTTAAAAGATATTTATATCTTATAAGATAGATATTTATATCAAACATTTTATTTACTCTCTTACACAAAGGCAACACTGTGGGGATTTTTGGCCCCATTTAAAAATGGCCTTTCATATCAGTATTTAAAGACTTTTGTGTGTGTTTTTTAAAAACTATATAGCATTCTGTCATTGTTCATTTAACCAATTCCCTACTGATGGAAATGTGGGTTGCTTCCAATAATTTGCTATTATAAACAGTGCTGCAGTAAATAACTTGGAACACTCCTGAAGCATTTCTTTTTACCTTGAGTCTTTTCAATGTATCCAGATCATGAGCAGCATCTTGTGACCCTATAAGAAATAAATCACATCACCTTGAACATATAAATAATTATCCTGACTTTTAATCTGAATTTTGTAACAATTTTGTTAGTTATTCATTTATTTTAAGAAATACATCTTGGGAGAACCTGAATCCAACTCTTTGAAAGATAATTCAGAAATATTCATCAAAAAACATTCATCCTGTAAATACTTTTGGACTCTGAAATCCCACTTCTAGGAATTTTTCCTAGAAGCCATGGGCCTAGGGCCATGGATGGGGCATTGGGTTTGGGTGGATTTTTGTTTGTTTTGTTTTTGTGGGGTTTATTTTGTATTACCAACAATACTGTGAAGAACATCCTAATAGCTAATCTTTGCAATATCCAGAACTTTTAGGAAAAATCCCTAGAAGTGGGATTTCAGAGTCCAAAAGTATTTACAGGATGAATATTTTTGATGAATATCCCATGAAAATATATACAGCCCTTTGAAATGAGAAATGCAGAAGAATATTTATTGCATGGAAATATATTTTCAATATATTAGGTGATAAAAGCAGGTTACAAAACATCAATCATTTTTATAAAAACAAAAACGATGTATATGCTTAAAAATGGGCAGGAAGTATATAGAACAAAACGTTACAGTAAGATTATAGGTGACTTTTTTCTTCATGCTCACATGTACTTTTTATAGTAAGTATCTATTTCTTTTGCAACTGAAGAAAAGAATATTAAAAAGACACACACAGAATGATTTAGTGCCAGCTCGTCTGGGAACACTCACAGCTTAGAGCAAACACTGCTGGTCTACAGAGTTCCACCCACGTTCCATGCACAGCTAGGGCTGTACCCTCTTCCAGTCTCTCCCTGTGAAAGTTGGCTTTCCAGATCTCCTACATCTGAAAAATGACTCTAGCTAATAAGCAAGTTTATACAGGAGAATAACTACTTAATATAAAGTGAGCTAGGAACTGAAAAAATAGAGCATTTATTATTTAAAGATTTCAGGTATTTTACTTTCCTGAATTAGGTTCCATTTCTATAGAAAACATTTTTTTCACCTTAACTGTCTGGGAAATCTGCCAGCTTCTACCATGTGATTTTAGGTAGCTGGAAGGTCAGCAATATGCTGGTTGGCCAATATTCTCTTGGTAATACAAAGCTCACAGTCTCCTTACTAAATCTACATTCAACTTTATTCTACTTAGAACTTAGCCTATCAAAATATTAACATTTGTTAATGGTAGATATGTAATTGCTATAGTCTGTAATTTTTTACACATTTGAAATACCTCATAATTTAAAAATAAAAATTCTCAGTTTTCTGTAGGAAGTCCTATTCATCTCCAGGAGGAGAAATGGGTTCAAGTAAGTTAACTGAAATTTGATGGTTTTATATGCATGCTATCTTTTAAATGATAATTTCACTCTATTTCTTACAATAGAAAAAAGACAAAAAAGAAAGAAACATGCATGAATGAAATTCTTTTTTTTTCTACCCTCAACTGTCATTATTGTATTTCTCGAAGCTGGATATTTTCATTATTTCCATTAAATACATATACACCCCAAACAGAATGAGTTAGTCATTTTTCAGAATTGGTTGCTACATTTTGAAAATGATTTCCAGGCTATGAATATATTGATTCAAATTTAGTGTTCTTGAGACCAAAGCAACTGACTCTTCAAACACAAGGAGAGTGTTAATAGTGTGGCCGGATAATTTTAGTCAGTACAAATGGACTTTATGTAATTGTCCTATGTGTGCCAACTAATACTTGGTAGTATTCAGTTCATGTTACTTCTCTCTAAATTCTAGATATAAACATTAGCTTTTCTCCAATTTTAAATGGTTGCTTTGCGTCGCAGTCTTCTATTAAGCTTTTGTTGGAAAAACACTTATTATTAAAAGAAATACTCTAAATCATTAACAATGTGTTATTTAAACCTTTGTTTTGAAGAAGTAGAATGTATCCTTTTATAAACTACCTGAATTAACATTTTAAAACAAATATCAATTTTAAGAATTTTATGATTTTAACAGTGGCAACATGAATCTATGACTGTGTTAAATTTAATAGAACTGAATAGCAAATCAATTTTAACTGTATGGTAATTTTAAATAACAAAAAAAGAAGTTGATGAATAGGACTACAACTAAAGAAATAAGTTTAATAATAATAATGTACAGTTATATTTTACATTGACATAACCCAATAATATTCATGACCCTGGCCAAAAATTATTATGGAAATATTATAGATGAAGTAACTGATTTAGAAAGCATATTACATGCTATTGGAGTTGGGACTTCTAACACGTTCAGTGTTTTGAAATCATATGTATCATAAAAAATAGGCTATGTAAGATCTCTAGAACTCTGTTTCTGTTTTTAATGAAAATACCAAATATTGCATAAATTCTGATGTAGCATGTCTTAATTTACAAATCTCTTTTTATCATCACAGAAATAGACCAAAAAATTATTAATGAAGCAAACCAAAAAGATATTATTACATTACTGAAAAGGGAAATAAATAATATTCTAAAGAGAAATGTTTTGGGGAAATTTGTAGGAGTGAATGTTCATAAATGGATAGAAATAGGAGCAAAAATTTCTAAAATGATAAGGTAAAATAATATTCATGAAAGAATTTTACAAAATAAAGAGCTTTACAAATTTAATGTATTATCTGCCTTCTAAAAATACTGAGTTTCCTAGATATCAGAAATCCTCTATAACCTTATGTGTTAGTCACTCAGTTGTGTCCGACTCTTTGCAACCCCAAGGACTGCAGCCAAGAAAGCTGGAGTGGATTGCTATTTCCTTCTCCATGGGATCTTCCCGAACAGGGATCAAACCAGGTCTCTCTCAGGGCAGGTAGATTCTTTACCATCTGAGCCACCAGGGAAACCCTTATAACCTTATAAAGGATTCCCAAATTTTCACCTAGAATTGAAGCAAAGATCTCAAAATGTCACCGATTGGGACTTTGTAACAAGATGGACATAACAAGAAGTAAGGAGCAAAAATTTCTAAAATGATAAGGTAAAATAATATTCATGAAAGAATTTTACAAAATAAAGAGCTTTACAAATTTAATGTATTATCTGCCTTCTAAAAATACTGAGTTTCCTAGATATCAGAAATCCTCTATAACCTTATGTGTTAGTCACTCAGTTGTGTCCGACTCTTTGCAACCCCAAGGACTGCAGCCAAGAAAGCTGGAGTGGATTGCTATTTCCTTCTCCATGGGATCTTCCGGAACAGGGATCAAACCAGGTCTCTCTCAGGGCAGGTAGATTCTTTACCATCTGAGCCTCCAGGGAAACCCTTATAACCTTATAAAGGATTCCCAAATTTTCACCTAGAATTGAAGCAAAGATCTCAAAATGTCACCGATTGGGACTTTGTAACAAGATGGACATAACAAGAAGTGTACCTTTTAAAAACCACCGAAGATAAATGGAATTTTCCACTTTTACAAATCAAGTTGGATTTAAGAAAAGTCCTAGTGAGATTTGTTGTAAAAATATAATTTGCAACACCAAGGACAAAAACACTAACTATATGTAAGATTTTTGAAATGCAGGAGCCTGGGTGAATTTATGAGCAAACTGAAAAAGATACAGCATATTTGTACAGCTTTCCACCTTCTTTATCCACCGCCCAATGTAATATTTAATTTCATGTAGTACTAGGTGAGAGCTGTGTTGCGTTGAAGAGATAAGAAAGCTTTTTGAAGCAACCTAGAAACACCCCTGTATCATTCACCTGGAAAAACTTTAAATATAACCATCCATAGGTCCCTCAGAGAATAAGTTATTTGTAACCATCTCCCTCTCTTGTAACCATCTCCTTCTCCCAAGAAAGGAGGTTGTACCTGATGAAAATATCTCACGTCCCAATCCAAAGAGACCATGTAAGGACTAGTTTCAGAACTCCCTCCCACCCCTCATTCAAGATCCTGGTAAGGTTCCAACGCCAGTCTTAGAAGACTACCTTGATCAGCCCACTTTGGATAAGTCTAGATTTAAAAAATAAGCAAAGTTCATGAAGACTCTGAAAGAGTGAATGACTATTTTTAAATTCTATCATAATTATTTTAAACCATTATTACTACAATAGAAGCCAAATAACCAAAAAATGTGCCTGGATATATTTCCTTCCCTAGAAACGGTGTGCAAATCCTGGGTGAAATTTTCAGACTAACTAAATGACCACTAAATTTTTCACTGGGCTGCAGAAACTAACTGGACATATTTATTTGGTGAATTTAAAGACAGGTCATGTAACAATGCACACAATACCTACTACAATAAATAACTCAAATGTATACTGCAACTGATATGTTTCAAAAAACTTTTGCAACAACTTTAGGACAACCCTATAAGATAAGCAGATACCCTTACTTCAGTTTTACAGATGGTTTCTTGGAGGACCAGAAAGAATTAATGACTTGCACTAGCTCATCTACTATAAGTAGAGTAGGAAGAGTGAGGCTCAAAGCCTGGACTCTGAGGCAGTATATGTTAATGATGGAGAGCAGGAGTGTTATCAGACTTGAGCTGTGCAAGTTATTTAACCAATTGTTAAGTTCAATTCCAATTTGAAAAATGGAGCTGATGATCTCTGTTTCACAGAGCTTTTAAGAGGAGTGTGCACATCACACAGCCATCTCATTGGCTATTTCTGACTCCCAATTCAGTGTTCTTTTTACACAAGAGGGGCTTGGCTATATAAATACTGAAAAATCATTGATTTTTCCAAGTCTTAATTTCTCTATTCATAAATGAAAAATTATTCAAACCTACTTAAAACACTGTTGACTATTTTTTAAGAACACTGCATCACATTTGTGCCGAATTAAAAAATACTGAAAAATCATTGATTTTTCCAAGTCTTAATTTCTCTATTCATAAATGAAAAATTATTCAAACCTACTTAAAACACTGTTGACTATTTTTTAAGAACACTGCATGACATTTGTGCCGAATTAACAAGTCTGCACATACATATCTGTGCTTCATTTGCTATTTGTGAATTACGCGTTGTACAGGGAATCTGTATTTATCATAATACAAGAAATCATAAACCATCAGACTCATAGCTATAAAATAACAATCCACCTTCTTAACAGTCCAAAAACAGACACCAAGAACAGATGTGGCCACAGGAGGCATGCACTCCATAGAGTTGCAACCCCAGGGCAGGCAAACAAGCACTTGTCTTTTCAAGCATTAACTTTTCTACAACTTAAACCCTCATCACTAGTAATCTTGCTTAATAAAAGCATTATTTTAAATTTGATAATCTTTTAAGGCTATATCGTTTCATAATCCAATAAAATACACTACCAATGTGTTGTCCTCCAGACAAGTTAGAAAAACAGGAAAAACGCTTTTCTAAAATTCAAATACCAGGTGCTACGTGCTACTAGAATCTATGCCTCTTAGGTTCATAGTGTGGCAGAAACAGTCCTAGGCAGCTAGTGAAGTTCCATATCCAGAAAAGGAAACATTTCAATTTCCTGGCCCTTTTAGCTGATAGCACAGACTACTATATACTAGGAAGAAAAATGAGAAGTAATATGGTTAAAAGAACTCAACGATTCAGCGGCAAATCAAATATACTCACCCAGGAGCAACCATGGCTTAATAACACCAACTTTCAGGTCCAAGCTAAGGTCCTGCACATAACCACAACCTCCCCCGCCGCTTGGCTCTATTTCTTCCACAACATGAATTCTGGCATCTTTCCATGTTTCTATAATTTGCTTTCCAGTGAGCGTTGTCACCCTGGTGCACTGCTTCCTGAGATTATTCCGGGAGAATGCCTTAATTTCCTGGTTAAGGGAGTGCATTACCTGAGCAGTGGCTAGGAACAAATACAAGCAAATCCAGCCAGCACAGTGAGGGAGCGAACTGAGCGTCCCTTAGTGTTCAGGTAACAAAAACAACCTCATGGGCACACGGGCCGGCAGGTAACTCTAGCTGACACTCACCGGGAGACGAGACAGCACGGCTCCGTTTTTGCCAGCGCCGCAATGTAAGCTGAAGTTTGATTGGCCGTTGAGAAAGGGACGCCGATTGGATGCTGTTTCTCCTTCCTGTTAGCGGGAAAGAACGCTATCCCGGCAGAGGTCTTTAAAGCTATCTTTTTTATTCACGCCGATTGGTAAAATATAAGAGATAATTGCCGAGCTGGTATTTCCTCGCACCTTAAAAACAGTGGTTTTCCGGACAGATTCGATCGGTGGCACTTGTGGTTGTGGACCTGGGTATCCCTCCTGTTCTAGTTAGGCTGCCGCGCCTGCTCGCCTGCTTTTAGGCTAATCCGGGGGGCTGCAGCAGACGTTAAAAGTTAGACTTCGCTTTCTGTGTTCACGCCTTTTATTTCTGCTGTTACTGCCAAGAGGAACATTTACTCGATTCAAAAAAATAAAACAACTACTGTTAGGTAGGCTAGTAACAATTTAAATAAAATTTGCAAAAGTAATTTTTTTCTTTTTAATTTTCTAATTGTATATAAACAAGATAAACAAGAGCTTAAAATATTTTCCCCCCTGACTTCTCGCCTGCATTTTCATTATCAGTAAAACTGCTGAAAAAGACTTCATGCAATAAATATACACTCATTATAAGAAGCATTGCAACAGTCATTTCATACATAGTTTCAGAAATTGGTGATGCAAACATCCACGTTTACTAAACATCAATTATAGAATGATTCTTTAATTAGAATCTTTATTCTAATAATATAGAATATTCTAATAATTGAATTAAATGTAGAACTAGAATTCTATATATTACATATAGAATTAGAATATATTATACTCTAATAATATAGAATATTACAAAAGAATGATTTGTTTTTCTCAAGAAATCGCAATTCCTTTAAATAGAAACTTTTCTTAGCCCACCTAAAAGACAATGCAACTTTGAATGGACTTAGACATAGCATATAAATCATGTATAAAGTGACAAAGTTGCTCTTAAAGAACACTTATTCACAACACCACATATTGAAATTTTTGTTGTTGTTGAGATTGATTTAAACCAAATTTCTCCCTATTAACAAGAGTGAGCTGTTAGCCCAAGCTAGCTACCCCTGGCACTCTAAAATGAAAAACTCAATAACTTTTTTGCATCACTTAAACAAGTATGTCTTCATCAAAAACTACTCTGACCACATATTATTCCATGTATATATCATGAAGTGATTTAAAAAAACCAACTATTGAGCACAGTAGATGCTAGATCCTGTGTTTATAAGCAATTTTTAAATTCTAAGTGTTATATGTCAGGTACTTTACACACATTATCCCATTTGCCTCACCCCAAATTTATTATGAGGCCATTGTATTATAATTACCTACATTTTACAGCTGAGGGAGCTCAAATGCAGAGATTGCAAACAACATATCCTACATTTCACAGGTCATAAGTTTAGACCCACAAGTAAGATTTAGGTTTGTTTCAGTCCAAAGCCTTAGTTCTTGTTTACTATGGAATACTGCACTGCCCCTTAAGTAACTGTGTTAACAAATATTTATTGAGCAGTTACAATGTGCCAGGCACTGTTGTAGTCCCTGGGGATATAGCAAATAAATAAAAACAAAGTCCCCTCTTTTATGGAACTCATTTCCAAATGGAGGGAGCAGATGGACAGATAATAAATGAATAAACTGTAACTATGTTAGGTCATGAAATAAGAGCTAAAAAGAGAAACTAAGTGAAATAAGGTAACAGAGGGAAAGGGCAGTGTGCTATTTGCTACAGGTTGGTGAAAGAATTTTCCTCTGATAAAGTGACATTTGAGTGGATACTTGAATGAAGTGCAGGAGCTAGCTCTGTAGATACCTAATTGAAGAGCTCTGCAGGTAGAAGGAACAACAGCTAAGACAGGAGTGTGCTAAGAGGGAGGAGCTGGGGAGTTTTAAGGAATTGCCAGGTGGCAAGTGTGGCTTTAGAGAGGGATTGAAGAGAAGCGTTGAAGGAGGAGAGGAGGGCAGAAAGAAATGGCGGAGACACTGGATCTGATTCTGAATGAGATGGAGAGCCACAAGAGAGAACAGAGTGGCGGAACCTGTGTTGTGCTGCCCAAATCCCCCCGCGGTGAGCGCCTGCTGTCTGGAAGTGCTGCTGGCTGACTGGCAGTGACCCCCTCAGGGCTGCCTCAGCTACAGAGGGCTGCCTTGCCTCAGCTTGCAGCCTTCAGGGAACGGACCACAACCAAGACTGACTGAGGAGGGAACAGAAAGACCTGGCTCTCTTAGCCCAACTTGAGACAACTTTGAAGAGCCATTCCAGCTTGAAAGACCAACATGTGGTTGGCCAAGACTATCACTGGGCCTGCATAACCTCTTGACTTCTGCTGAAGCCTGATCCTTCCACTCCCTTCTACAAATGTTGATCCCAAAAGCACTCCTTTAAAAAGTCCTGCATGCTAAACACTACCTCAGTCTGCTTCCAGGGATCCAGTCTGTGATAAGTGACGTGCTAGCTTATGCTGTAAAAGGGTGATCTTTCTGGCGGCTGTGAGGAGGAGTAGAGGCAACATGGAAGCAGGGAGATTTGTTAGGAGGCTATTACAATGACTCCGATGGAAGACAACAGTTACTAGGGCAAGAATGGCTGTAGATGAGGAGGGAAGACGCAGTCAGATGCTAGATATATATGAGAGCTGAGCCAAGAGACTTTATTAGTAGACTGATGTGGGAAAGATTAGGATAATTTGAAAGTTTTTTGGCCTAAGCAACTGAAAAGTAGATCTGCCATTTACCAAGAAAGGAATGGTGTGGTGATGAAAAGCTCAATTTGGGACATGTTAAGTTTAATATGCCCATTAATCTACCGAATGGAAATGTCAAGCAGGAAGCCGCACATGTGAATCTGGACTTCATAGAAGAGATCTCTGCTGGAGATAGAAATTTTGGAGTAATCAGCTTTAAGACTCCATTAAAACCATAGCACTGAACGAGATTATCTAGTTATGAAGGTTGATAGAGAAGCCAGACTTGTGCCCTCATTTAAGGGTCAGGAAGATGAGAAGGAGTCAGCAAAGGAGACTAAGATGAAGAGATCTTGGAGGTAGGAGGAAAGGAAAGAGAGACAGTTTTGAGAGTACAAATAAAGCGTTTCAAGGAGAACAGTGTGATCAGCTGTGTCACATGCTGCTGACAGTGTTGAGGGACATGCACTAGATTAAAGGCCTCCTCAACGAGAACACATGCCATTTCCCAGCACTATACAAACATTGCTTCCTGACAGCTCTGTGAGGGAAGTAATATAGACCACAATTTTTTTTTTGGCCTTTTTTTTCATTTATTTTTATTAGTTAGAGGCTAATTACTTTACAATATTGTAGTGGGTTTTGTCATACATTGACATGAATCAGCCATGGATTTACATGTATTCCCCATCTCGATCCCCCCTCCCACCTCCCTCTCTACCCAATCCCTCTGGGTCTTCCCAGTGCACCAGGCCCGAGCACTTGTATAGACCACATTTTTACAGAGAAGGGCATTTAATGTGCAAGATAGAGACTAGCCTTTGGGCACAGTTTGGGTTTGTTTGTTACTAACAAGAATGGTTGAACACAGTTCCATCTTACTCAGAAACCCATATTCTTTGTACCACATCATTCTGTAATGGATGAGTAGAACCGTCAACTACACGCTGATAGCTGCAGTCCCTGCTGATAATACTGTAATACTCACATGTTAGTATCACTGGATACTTAGACACTGTGCCACTCAGCTGTTCATTTTACGGAAGAGTAGCCCAAGAAGTAAACTTATTTGCCCAATGTCACTACTCGTGGTCCCTGGTCCCTTAACATAGTATCTAATGCTTGTTCTACTGTATTATATGGTTATCTAAAAAGTCCTTTAAGGGAAAGATTCCTTTTCATTAAGCTAGCCTGTGGGCAGAGGAGTTGGAGCTCTGGCAGGAGAGAAAGAAGAGATAAAAGGTTAGAAAACCCAGGCAAGAGGAAGAGGGCAGTGTTCCACCCACAGGAGAGGCATTGCTTATGCTGAGATTTGAAAAGGATTGTTTGATAAAGGTTTGATAAAGGATTGTTCTGGAAGAGGGAGCATGTTCTTATAAGAATTAAGGAGTATGGGGAAAGGGGGAAAGTGTGAATTGAATATATTCTGGAATTTGTTGCTATGTCCACCATATAATTTCTCTCCTAACAGAATCAAAATGTCTATGCCAAATGCTATACATTTTTCTAGTATTATCTATGGACATCACTAGAATATCACTTTTGGATAAAGCACAATTGACTGCTAAACAATACAGGGTTGAACTACATGAGCTCCGTTATAAGCAGATCTTTGTTAATGATTACTGGACCACAGTACTACACAACTCTAGGTTGGCTGAATTCCCAGATATGGAACTTATGAATATGGAGGGCTGACTGTAAAGTTACACTCAGATTCTTAGTGGTTCGTGGCTTAGTGCCCCAAACCACACATTGATCAAGGGACAACTATAATTGAAATGCAAAGAGCTAGTAAGCAATAGCTCTTGTACTCAATCTCAGGTCTATTGCATCTCAATAGACCTTCATCCCACTACATATACACCTTGTGACATATTTCATAATAAAATTGCTATGGAAATATCTACTTTTCATTAACTCAGATATGATTTATATGGGTAAAAATATTTATAAATAGTCGAAAGTCCAGTTGGCATACAATTTTTGGCTTGAGTTAATAGTCTTAGTTCTGCGTTTCACCGAGAACAGAGACAGCCTGAAATGAATACAGAAAAAAATCAGATTCCTCTTATAACACTGCTCACTTTGCAATCTTTTTTAAATTATTTATTTATTTCTGGCTTTGCTGGGTCTTCATTGCTGCAAGTGGACTTTCTCTAGTTGTGGAGAGTGGGGGCTACTCTCTAGTTATGGTGTGCAGACTTTTCATTGCAATGGCTTCTCTTGTTGCAAAGAAAAGGCTCTAGGGGCACAAGCTTCCGTAGTTGCAGCACATAGGCTCAATTAGTTGCTCCTAGG